CCACGTGGCCTGGCCCTCCGGTTCTGGCGCTGGGAATCGGCTTCCGAGGCACCGGGTGCCCCCTTCCAGTGTTTGTGTGCGTCCGGCTGTGTGGTGGCAAAGGCCCGGGCGCCCCCGAGTGCCAAGGGTCCCCTGAGCACCCTTCTCTGAAGAGCCACGCCTCTTCGGAGTGTGCGGGTGTGTGTATGTTCCAGTCCCCCGCACTCCCTGCCCGTTGTCACCCCACCCCCGCCGTGGGTCCCCAGAGATGGGCTTGACTGGGCTTGGCGCCCGCCTGCCTGGGTGTGGCCGCGCCCCATCAGATGTTCGCCCACAAGCAGCGAGCGCCTGCTATTCCTTGTCTGTAACATAGACCGCGGGAACTGGGAGGGCTGGGGAGGATGGGGTGTTATATAAATATAGATATAATTTTATTTTCGGAGGTAGGATGGTGTTATTTAATGGTGGTGGTGGGTGGAGTGACAGGGCGCTGGAACAGCCCCCGCCGGCCCACGGCAGGCGCCTATCCAAGCATGAACAGGACTTGGTCAGCTGTCCAGCCCCCCTCCCCCGGGAAGATACTTGCAACTGACCTGGGGCTGAGAGGACACAGCTTCCAGACCCTCCTTCCAGCCACCCCTGGGGAACCCCTCACCAGCCAGGGCAGGAGGGAGCCTGGCTGTGGGAGGTTTTTGCCATAAGCGAGCTCTGTGCCTGTCCTACAAGTGAACATTGTTTAGTCCAAGAAACTGATGTTAATTGATTTATTTAAAGGCTACAACTTTTTTTTGGAGGAATCCTTTGCACAACTGTTCATTGTTTGACACTTATGCACTTGTCATTTGCATACGACAGTAGCATTCTGATGACACTTGTACGCTGTAACCTCATCTACTTCTGATGTTTTTTAAAAAAATGATGACTTAAAAAAAAAAACAAGGAGGGGAAAAAGAAACCACTAATTTTTGTTTTGTTTCTTGAAAAAAGTGGCAACACTGTTTTTTGCGATTTTATTTGTGCAGGTATGCGCACTCTTGCCGAAGGGCAGTAGCAAGTGTTAGGGCCTATTTAAAAACTTGTTTTCACAAGGCGGTCTCTAAAGCTGTGTGAAGCTTTCTCCGCATCTCTACAGAGACTGAACCCGCCTGGTCTCTCCCTTCCCCCTCCCTCCCCCACCCCCCAGTGGTACTTCTACTAAATTGTTGTCTTGTTTTTTCATTTTTTAAATAAACTGACAAATGACAAAGTGGTGAGTTTATGATGTTTACATAAAAGTTCTATAAGCTGTGTATACAGTTTTTTATGTAAAATATTAAAAGACTATGATGATGACATTTATAAAATGGCTCCTGTGGCTTCATGTGTAAAAATACCTTGTGAATTGGGGGCAAGGGGAGAATTCTGCCAGGTGAGGTCTTTCTTGCCACCATCTCCATCTCCTTCCAATGCTGTGAGACTGACTCCCCTCGCACAGGAGTGGGGCTTGGGTGCCATGGGAAACCCGGCCCTGTTCTGGCCCCAGAGGGCCCCCGAGTGAGTTCCCAGGCCCCTGGCGCCAGCACCTTGCCCTGCTGTGCCCGCCACCCTGGGAGGGTGCCCGTTGAGCTTCTGAAAGGCAGGTAACATTCTGTTGCTAATAGCCAATTTGAGGTCAGGCTCTCTAGGAGGCTGGTTCTTGGGGTCCCTGCCGATGGTCAGCTGGTTACTCAGGCCCAGAATGTGTGCGTACAGAACCTAGAATGTTCTGTCTGAAGTCCTGAGAAGGGCCACGCCGTGGACAGCACTGGCTGGGTGTTGGAAGTCGGAGTGGCCGCTTTTTGAGGCCGAGGGGCTCTCACTCAGACACAGGCTGCGGCAGTGGCCTCAGACAGAGAGGCGGTTTGGTTCTGGAGATGTTAAAACCTGCGTGTCTGGTGGCTCAGGCTTGCTGATGAGCAGCGCTCAGGAAGGCAGCCGAAGGGCCAGTTCTCCCAGGCCAGCTCTCCCCGTCCGTCACCTAAGAAGCTAGTTGTTTTTTTTTTTTTTTGTGGAGTCAGCGCTTTTGGGGTTTTTGGCATTAGTTGTGCCCCTCCTTTCCCCCCACGCGCCACCCACACCGGGGGCTGAGAAGAGATGGTCTGGTCTGAGGTCTGGCTCTAAAGCCTCTGTTCCGCAGACTCCCAAGAGCTCATGTTGAATGGGGAAAAGTTTGGGTGGTGACCTTTCACCCACTTAAATCCACAGCTACACAGCTTTCTGCAAAGCAGGCCCAGTGGCCAACAGAGGGGAACTGTGGGGCCTGTCCAGGCACAGAGCCTGGCAGGGCCGACCCAAGCCAGCTGCTTCTGTGAGCAACAGCCTCGCCCCTCCCCGGCCCTCGGCCCCACTTACCTGCATCCCCAGAGCCTAAAAATTTTCTCCTTTGTTTTAAAGACAAAACTTCCCATTGAAAAATGAAATGTTGATTTGCAGGCTTTTACAGTTTGCAGTCCTTTGGTGCCAGGGTGTGCAGGATCTGGAAAAGAGCTCAAGTGGGGTTGCATGTCCCCGACCAAGGGCCTGGACATGGCCCCGAGGGCCTATGCTCGGTCTCCTGCCGCTACATCTGCCGGGTACCCCGAGCTGTCTGGTTTTCAAAATTTTTTATTTTGGGAAGGCAGCAAACCCAGATGACACATGGCAGCCTGAGTTCTGCTTGTTTTAAGATGCATGGCATTTCATAATCCTGCCGGCATGCACTCTTCTTGCTGCATTAGGGTCCGGCTGGAGAGTATAAAGATGAATTGCTGTAGGCTGGAAAATCAATTAGGGAAAAGAGGTAAAACATCTGGTGTTACTCTTCGGATATGAAACTTCATTTCGCACATTTACAATAAATGTGCTGAGTACACTTAATTGCCCGCTGAAGGGTTTTGTGGAGAATAGTGGGGTGTTCCATTGATCTTGGGCATTTTATAGCAAGGGCACTGGCTTGGGTCCTCATTTAATCTTAATTTTAAATCAATCTGGATTGTATTGCTCAGGCCTTTGGCGTCCTCAGAAGGTGGTTCTTGAACTGCAGTGAGGACTGCTTAAAGCACGCTGGCCGGGCCTTCCCCAGGAGCCTCTGATCTTGTAGGACTGGGGTGGGGTCAGAAATACGAATTTCTTTATGTATATATATTCTAATATATTTTTTACATCATTCTTCCTTTTGTGCACTTTTTCATCTCAGTTATCCCCGTGTGTCATCACCACAGTTCAGTGCACCCTTCCCACCCCCAAAATACGGATTTCTAATAAGCTCCTAAATGACGTTGTGTTGCTGATCTGGGGATCACTCTTTGCGAAATACTAAGACTAACGCTAAAATACGGAGCGTCCTTGTTAATCCCAGAGTAGGGGCTTCCTGTAGGGAAGGAGATGGAACCCCTTGTGCTCACTGGAGCCCCCGTGCTCACTCCCGATTCTTCCCCCACAGAGCCCAGGGCTTCCCTGGTACGAGGAGCCACGCACCGCCCCCCCCCCCACCCGTCTCCTCCGTAATCTTGTGCCACAGCCACAGGGGTTTTACTGTCCTGGAGACTGGTGCCGTTCCTGAGTTCAGAAAGCAACA